TACCGGACCTCCCGAGTCTAGTCTCGGGCATCGGTTGCTGGCTTTGGCCGCAGAAACAGAGGACCGGGAGGCGATCGAGTTGGGCAGCCAACTCGAGGGGTTTCCCTCCCCGACGCTCGCCCCCCGATCCCGGGCTCGAGACCGGTCCCCTTCCCCAGATGAGAGCGTTCAGCCCAAGCGCTCCCGGTTTGATCAACCCCAGGCTGCAGACTCTTCGGCGCTCGGGGCAGAGCTCCTTTACATCTCTGCTCAACGTCGCCTACAACAGCTGCAGCTTATCGCAAAGACTTGGGGTTCGCACTGTGACGACCCCGACAACATCTGTCTGGGGCGGTCGAGGGACTTGAGTTGGATGGAGGACATTCAGGCGGAGATCGCGGACGCAGAGGCGACGGTCGCCAGCACCAAATGGAAAGCAGACTTCGCTAAGGCGCGCGAAGTGGTGCAGGCGAAGGCCGCCGCCGTGTCTTCTGTGTCCACAGTGACTCTCGGGGCGAAGTTTAAGCCGCCAAAAGGGAAGCGCCCCGCGAACAGGCGCGGGGGCAAAGGGAAGAAGGGGGCTTCGCGCCTTTCCTCAGGGAAAAGGGATGTGGGACAGGACGGCTCCAGGAGGACCCCTCTGAAGAGGTCGTCCACAACTACTTCGGTCGTCGCCACGGCTGCGATTTCGACCTCCATCCGGACGGTCCTCCGGAAGTCGCGCGGGGACGTCTGATCTTCTTCGCCTTCGTTTTCTCTACAAACAGTAAGTCTCTTTTTCTTCTCCCTCCGGGACGAGCTCTCAGCGAGGGGATAGAGAATACAGCTGTGCTCTCTGAATACTCCCGCCCTCTGCGGAAGTCCCACCAGGGTTGCGCGCGTATAAGATTGTGATACGTGGCATGCAGACACTTGCTGCTACAGGGACAGGTGTGCGCGCTAAGCCGCGGCGCGGTACAAGTTCGACTTGCAGAATGCGGAGTCTCCGTCCTTCAGGGTTTAGCACCGGGAGTCGTTAGTGACCACGTGCGACTCCGGAGAGCCGCACGATGCTTACTCAGTATTAGAGTACCGTAGATCGATAGGCAAAAATCCAACCGTTAGTAGATACAAGTCGAAAGGCCTCGCGGGGAGAGAAGTTAGCTCTCCGCATTAGTAATGTGACTGGGCAAAGGAACTCAATATCTCATTGAGAACTTGCGCTAAGACTTGCTTGGTCTATCGTGCAGGTTCTCTACGGGGCCTCCTTCCGGAGCCTTCCACGAGTCCCGGCCCGACCCAGTCATACATAAATAAGGGTCCTTTAGA